ACGTGCGCGCGCACCGTTTCGGGACGCCGGGCACGCGCCGTCCCCTACGCTTCCGGTTCGTTTCTGGCTCCTCCGGCGAAATAGCCAATCATCGCCAGGGTCGGGTGACGTCACTGCATACCGGCGGCGGCTTCCCGAGGAGCGGCGCTGGGCGTGGGTGATCGCCCCCTAGCGGCGGGACGGAGGGCGGCGGGAGTGGAGGCTTCGGGCCTCGGGAGTGAGACCGACCGTCGGACCTCGGAGGAGCGGGGCTGGGTGCTTTTGAGAAATTCTAGTGTTTCTATTTCTGTGGTAAGCTGGAAAGAAAACTAGAGGCCTGCCCCAGGTGTATGAGAGTGGGGACCAAGTGCTCCTTGTTAAGGACGGAGGGGAAGAGCATACATAAAGTCAGTCTTAAATGACAAAAGAAGCATGAGGGTCGGGAGAAGGCCAGAGGCTGCCTCGGTGAGGGAAGGTTTTGCACGAGTTTGGAGGGAAGAACCGGACAGATCATGGTCCTCCGGGCCAGCGGAGACAGACCAATCCGGAGAAACCTGTGCCTGGACCTTGTGCATCACATCCATCCTTCCAGAGGCAATCTGGTCTCAGCCCAACACACTCATTCTTCACATGGAATTAATGTTAGCATCTACAACGGTTTAACTTGTAAATTTGCTTTCTATAGCAGTATGCTATCTATAAATGCTAGGGATTTATGCCTCATTTCGTTTACATAAGATTATAATATGTACTTTGACACGTATCTGACCCTTTATCCAAGTTTGAGAATTATTATGGTTGGTGATAGTAATTCCAAGCAGAGGAGCCAGGTTTCTGTTTCAGGAAGGCTACTGTGGTGGCTGCATGGAGGCAGGGAGTCTGATTAGGAGGGAGGCTCTGACAAGGACTCAGGAGACGATGAGGGACTGAACTAGGACAGGGGTGATAGGGAAGGGGAGGAGGAAACATCTATGCCCTATGGGAAAATTGGCTGATTGATTAGTATCCAAAGTCGGTCCTGGGGAGAGAAAGAGCATCAGCCAGGATAATTTTTAAATTTCTAGCTTAGATGATGGGGAGATATCAACTGGATAAAAAATCCAGGAGGAGGAAAGGTTGAGTAAAGGATGGTAAATGATTTCCATAAACAAAGGGGTGATGGTAAACTATGAAGGTGGATGCCATCGTCCACGTAGGGTGTAAAGAAGGAGAAATAGGCTGGCAGAATCCTGGGGAAAACCAGCATTAAAGGGCAGTGGAGGAAGAGAAGTTATGAAGGACACTGAGAAGAAACAAGCTAAAAGACAGGAAGAGAATTTAGAGAGTCCGGTGCCATGGACTCGAAGGATGGAGCGTTTAGGGAAAATGGAATAATGAACAGCATTAAATAGTGCAGAGGGGTCTGCTAAGATAAATTTTAAATGTTTCTTGAATTAGCTTATTAGCAGATCCTTTTGTTGTTTTTCAAACTTTTTATGATGGAAAATGTCAAACATAAGCAGAGAATAGAACAACGGGCCCTTATTTAGCTGGGAGAGAAGTTCATTTTGTTGGAGACCCGTGCCTCAGCCGTGCTGTAGCTCTCAGCGATCTGTCGGAGTAAAAGTACCACTTCATGTACCTTTTATCCCAGTGATTCTCCAATGATCAACTCATGGCCAATTTTGTTTCTTTTATACCCCTGCTGTCCTCCCCCCATCCCAGTTATTTGATGCATATTTCTGACATTATATCACTTTATCAATATGTTTAAAAGTATGTTCTCTAAAACACAAGGATTCTTCTTTAAAACAAAATCATGGTACCATTGTCACATCTGAAAAAAATGAACAATTCTTAATGTCATCAAGCATCTAGTTATTCACATTTCCCCCATTGTTTTATATTTAAATTTTTTTATTGATGTTAGAGAGAAGAAGGGAGAGGGGGCGAGAGAGAGATAGAAACATCAATGATAAGTATCATCGATCGGCTGCCTCCTGCACATCCCCTACTGGGGATCGAGTCTGAAACCCCAGGCATGTGCCCCTGACTGGAATTGAACCTGGGACCCTTCAGTCCGCAGGCCGACACTCTCCACTGAGCCAAACCAGCTAGAGCTATATTTAGTTTAAAAAAATTGTTTATGTGAATCAAGATATGAGTAAGGACCATACTTTGCAGCTAATATGTCTCTTGAATTTTTAAAAAACTTTGTCTATTCTCCATCTTTCCCCCCTTATTATTTATTTTTTAAGAAACCAGGTCATTTATCCTGTAAAGTTTCTCAAAGTCTGAACTTTGCTGAGCTTCTACTGGCGTAATTTAGTATGTTCCTCAGCTCTGTATTTGTGGTAAATTATTAGAGGCTTAATCAGATTTAGATTTGATTATTTTGGTAAAACTAATTCATAGGTGGTTTTAGTGCATTTACCAGGAGGCATACAGTGGTGGTCTTTTTGTGATATTAATAATTAATGATGATTGTTGTCTAGACTAGCATTGTTCAAACTTGGCACTGTTGACATTATGGGCCGGATAGTTCTTTATCGTAGGAAGTTGTTCTATGCATTGTAGGATGTTTAGTAGCATCTCTGGCCTCTACCCACTGAATGCCGGTAGCAACTCCCCCAATTGTGATAACCAAAAATGCTTCTAGACAATTGTTAAATTTCCTTTAGTGGGCTAAATGTCCTTGATTGAGAACGGTACCATTGTCACATCTGAAAAAAATGAACAATTCTTAATGTCATCAAGCATCTAGTTATTCACATTTCCCCCATTGTTTTATATTTAATTTTTTTAAATTGATGTTAGAGAGAAGAAGGGAGAGGGGGGCGAGAGAGAGATAGAAATATCAATGATAAGTATCATCGATCGGCTGCCTCCTGCAGGTCCCCAACTGGGGATCGAGCCTGAAACCCCAGGCATGTGCCCCTGACTGGAATTGAACCTGGGACCCTTCAGTCCGCAGGCCGACACTCTCCACTGAGCCAAAACAGCTAGAGCTATATTTAGTTTTAAAACATTGTTTATGTGAATCAAGATATGAGTAAGGACCATACTTTGCAGCTAATATGTCTCTTGAATTTTTAAAAAACTTTGTCTATTCTCCATCTTTCCCCCCTTATTATTTATTTTTTAAGAAACCAGGTCATTTATCCTGTAAAGTTTCTCAAAGTCTGAATTTTGCTGAGCTTCTACTGGCGTAATTTAGTATGTTCCTCAGCTCTGTATTTGTGGTAAATTGTTAGTTAGAGGCTTAATCAGATTTAGATTTGATTATTTTGGTAAAACTAATTCATAGGTGGTTTTAGTGCATTTACCAGGAGGCATACAGTGGTGGTCTTTTTGTGATATTAGTAATTAATGATGATTGTTGTCTAGACTAGCATTGTTCAAACTTGGCACTGTTGACATTATGGGCCGGATAGTTCTTTATCGTAGGAAGTTGTTCTATGCATTGTAGGATGTTTAGTAGCATCTCTGGCCTCTACCCACTGAATGCCGGTAGCAACTCCCCCAATTGTGATAACCAAAAATGCTTCTAGACAATTGTTAAATTTCCCTTAGTGGGCTAAATGTCCTTGATTGAGAACCACTGGTCTAGGTTCATTAATATAGGATTTAGAACATAATATTTTCATTCGAGCCTTCCTTCTTTGTTAGGCAGAATAAATACCTCTACAAAGAGAAACTTTTACACATTAACTGTTTGTTCCCTAGAGCTACATTTCATATAGGAAAGCAAGAAAAATGTTGATTTGTTTCCCTTTTATCAGCTTTTAAAGTAATGAGTTGGTTAGTTAGCATTTTCCAAAGGAACCAGTGACTTTTTTTTTTAGTACTATTATGACTCATACTTTATCACATATATGATGTGTCTCAATCATTGGCAGTTTTTAATTTATCAGCTTTTAAAGTAATGAGTTGGTTACCTAGCATTTTCCAAAGGAACCAATGATTTTTTTTTAGTACTATTATGACTCATACTTTAACACATATATGATGTGTCTCAATCATTGGCAGTTTTTAAACATTTTGATGCTTAAGTTGACCTATTTGGCCAGTGGGAACTTATTCAAGTTGGCGCCTGAGAGTCCTTTTGCTATGACCTTTAAGGTTTCTTGCTCCTTGGTATGATCAAATTTTCCAGGCTCATTTTGTGCATTCCTAGACTAGAGCTGGTATCAGCGATTTTTTCCAATGATTCATGGTTCCTCTTAATTGGAAATGGTATTTAGAGAACACAGTCTGGGCACTAGGGATGTAGGTTATTTGACCTTAGGAAAAGCAGTTAAATGAATACATAGTCAATTACCTGTTCTCAAAACAGCCCCCTGCACCACCTCTTTTTATAAAAAATTTCAAACATGCAAAAAAGTTGAAGGAATGCACAATGAACAGCTGTACAGTACACTCTCACCTAGACTCAACAATTGTTTATATTTTATTGTGTTTGTTCTCTCTCTTCTTTCTCATGTGGTATGGTATGGTATGATAGGGCATCATATATAATTTTTTAAAATCCTCACCCGAGAACATGTTTCTATTGATTTTTAGAGAGGAAGAGAGAGAGAGAGAGAGAGAGAGAGAGAGAGAGAGAGAGAAATATTGATCAGTTGCCTACTGTACATGCCTCCATCAGGATTGACACTCCAGCCAACTGAGCCACACTGGCCAGGGCTCATATATAGTTTTTATTGTACCATTTGAAAATAAGTTTCAGGCATTGTGACACTTCATTAGCATTATCTGCTAAGATCATTTTCTATGTAACCATAATACCATTATCATATCTTGAATTACTTTCTTCAGTTAGTTTTATTGTCTTCTTAGGTCTCTTTTGCTGTTTCTTCTTCATCTTCCTGATCTCTAAACAGTGGTGTATCCACAGCTCCATCATTGGACCTCTTCTCTTCTCTCTACACACGTACATGGTAGGTCATTCCATAACTCCAAGGCTCTAAATACTATTTATATTCTCGTGACTACCACTTTCTCTCTCTCGACCCAATCTGTCCTCTGAACTCGAGACTCCTATATTCAATTGCTTCATGGTCTTTGTTACAAAACATTTGCATACATTAATTTGAGCCTCACAACAGTGGCAGGGTGACTATAGTATCTGCATTTTATAAGTGATAGAGGGGTTTAGAGATAGTAAATGACTTGCCCAAAGTCACGTGAAGCTTAGCTTTTCTGACTCCTACATAGTACACATTGTGCCACCGTGAGGTGTGACCAGCAGGGAGTGGCAGGCATATTTGTTGAATGGGTGATGATCCAGATTATGGTAGGTATTCAGTAAATGTCAAGTTATACTAGTGAAAATTAACGATGTCACCCTGCCTAGAGGTCTCTAGTTTCCTTTTTCCCGTCACCTCCCCTCGGGGCTCCCCTCAGAGACCCTCTTTCCAATGAACTCCGTCACCTTTAGTCAAGACTCACAAAGAGCGGAATCCACGTCTCCTCAGGCAGGTGCTCAGATGAGGGCTTAAGAAGGAAGGGTCCTCTTTTGAGATACAGCTCAAGAGACCTAACAGTTTCGCCCTCCCACCTCAGGCCTTCCTCGGGTCCTGGAGTGGCGAGGCTGTACTGCCCCTCTTCCCCGCCCCCATGTGGCAGGACTGCACTTGTTCTGGAGTAGAGACCTGTGAGCCTCTGCTCTCAGGTTCTGCTGGCTTTGGCCCCGGCAATCATCACACTAGCGCCCCCTCCCCTCTCTCCTCTCTTCGCCCCGCCCCTGTCTCCGGCTCCGCCCACAGCCCTGGACACAGGGTAAACAGCCCAGAGCCTCTGCTCAAAGGGAAACAAGAGAGACAGCCTGTGTTCCCATGGCTATGGCCAGCACCTTCATACCCGGGCTGAACCCTCAGAATCCTCATTATATCCCCGGGTAAGACTTCTACCCAGAGCACAGCCCTGCGTGCTTCCGGGAAGCGGGGTTTAGGGATATAGGAGTTGTGCACCTAGACCTTGGGGGCCAAGTGGACACACCTGTACAGCAGGCCCAGGGCTGGGATATCTATGGTGTTGGATAGAAAATGAAAAGCAAGGAATAGTAGCTGGGCCGGCCACAAAGCTCTGTGTTGTCTTTTCCATGGTAACAGGGTAGCAGCAGAGGGAAATGGCTGCTCCAAATATACAACCAGCCGAGTCCAGAAAAGATCAGGGCTTCAGAGCTCTCTGCTTCTGTCCCTGGGGAGGGTGGGCAGGGGGAATCTAGAGCTGAGTGGGTGAGTCCTGTGCTACAGGTACACTGGACACTGCCCACTGCTTCGGTTCAGCATGGGCCAGACCTATGGGCAGATGACCGGTCAGCTACTCCGGGGAGCTCCTGGCATAGCCTGGCCCCCTGCCCATCGCATACTTCTGCCTCCCATTCGGCCTCCAAGATCTCCCGAGGTTCCTCGTGGAAGCCTGCCTGTCGGGCGTGGGCACAAAAGGCTCAGTTCCAGCATGATCCCTGGGTACACAGGTATGTGCACAAATATAAACAGGTGCCCCATCCCTGAATGTGTGTCCCAAACACTAACAGAGATCTTCTTTGCCCCCTGCCCACCCAGGTTTTATCCCCCAGGCACAGTTCATCTTTGCCAAGAACTGCAGCCAGGTCTGGGCTGAGGCTCTGAATGATTTTACTCAGTGGCACGGAGAACAAGGGAGACAGGAGCTGTCAAAGCAGGTCAAGGGAGAAGATGTGGAGGAAGACCAAGAATCAGAGCCAAAGCCGAAGCCAGAGCTGGAGGCGCAGGGGGCAGAGCTGGGGCAGGAGGCAGGACAAGTGAGGCTGTGAAGTTGGGGGGAGAGGGGCGTGCAGTGTGGTGGGAGTGGGGAGCCGTACCTCTGTGTAGGCTGGGGACATGGGCTTGCCTGCCAGCTCCACTCCCTGGGACCTTGTGTCAGAGCACGGGGGCTAAGTTTGATAGCACCATTTTTCTTCTGTCAACTTCCCTCACAAGGCTTCCCCCTATTCCATGGATGACGGAGATCCTCACAAGTTCTTCATGTCAGGTGAGGGAGGTGGGTAATGACTAAAGGTGTGGGAGGCCCCCAGGAGGTCCTGACCCAGAATCCCCTCCCCAGGTTTCACTGGCTATGTGCCCCGTGCCCGCTTCCTCTTCGGCTCCAGCTTTCCTGTGCTCACCAACCAGGCGCTGCAGGAATTTGGACAGATGTGCTCACAGGGCAAACCCCAGAAGGATCTCAAACATCTCCCCCCACTTTCAAGGACCTACCCTCAGAACCTGGGTCTTTTGCCTAACTATGGGGGCTATGTGCCAGGTGAGGTTGTGTGTGTGTGTGTGTGTGTGTGTGTGTGTGTGTGTGTGTGTGTGTGTGAGATGGGTGGAGGTGGTTTTGGTAGTTGGAAATAATAGATATGAGGGGACCTCAGGGCATGTAGTTCAGCTTTATCATTGGGCAGGAAAGAAAACTGAGGAACTGAGGGAGCTCACAGTGGGGAAATAGGATCAGGTTTTGGAGGACAGCTTGGAGGGTCTAGGCAACTGGCTGAGAAATAAATGGCTTTTCCATGCCACTGACTACATGTGACAGACTCTCTTGACCACACAGGATATAAGTTCCAGTTTGGCCGCACATATGGGCATCTCACCCACGATGCTCTGGGCCTCAGCACCATCCAGAAGCAGCTTGTGGCATAGGTACCTGGACTTCAAATTCTTTCGTCCCTTTTCATGTATCCCAGCCATGCTTTTGGAAGAGAGAGAGATGGGCTGGAGGGTAGGGGGAGGCACAAAGAGAATGGTTTGGAGGCCAAGCACCTTTTTTATTAATAGGTGTAATAAATAAATAAATAAATACATAAACAGAAGCCTGGGCTGCTCCTCCCTCTTCTGACCACCAGGCATTGGCCACAGCCTATTTACATGTGGGAGCTTAGGGATCTGGCCCCTTCACTGTCACCCATCATCCTCACTACCTGGCCTGGGAGCCCTGCAGATGGGCCTTCTGGTCACCTCCATCCACAGGGACATGCTTGTCTGTACCCATGGAAAGGCTGGCCCAGACGGTCCGGGGAAACCCTGGCAGCCCAGTGCTGCGTCCCTTCCCTCCTTTCCTGGGTGGTCTGGACATGGTCATGGGACAGTTGGGGGGGGGGTAATTAATACTGAGCACAGGAATACGTGGCCCCAGCTCCCAGTCTGTTCTCTACAGCCAAGCCAGAGGGCTTGGGGGGGGGGGGCTCTCGGGCTCTGAGTCTGATGGTTATGAGGGTCCCTGAGGCCACCAGCATGCAGAGGACCTCAGTTTTGGCTGTTTCCAGGAGTTGGACTTGGAGTTGGGGTCAAGGTCACGTAGGCCAGAGGCACCAGGCCAGTGTCAGGGCCACGGCTGCAGCGCAGCCAGTCTCCTCCGGCTGGCCCCAGCACTCGGAGGACATCTCCCTTGTGGAAGCTCAGCTGTCCAGGGCCTGTGGCCAGATGGTGGCACAGTGCTTTTACCTCGCTGGAGAAACAACAAATGGAGGTCAGAGAAACCCCACCCAAAACAAACCCAGGCCCTAGTCCTTCAGGCCCCCAGGGCTCACCATGGAGGCTTGGAGGGCAGGGCTGGAGCGTGTGGCTCCTGCTGGCTCTCCTTGGGCTCTGGCTCCCGGCGGGCACCCACTGTCTGCGCCACGAGTTGGAACATGGACTTGTCCAGACTCAGCCAGTCCGAGGGCAGCCTAGGGGTTAGCAGTCAGGGCTTTGAGCCCTGGCTTAGACCAGGCTCCCCACTCCCTCTGTCTACACCATGGGCTGCCTCTCACCTGTTTGTGGGCCGGATCTCTCGCTGAGCCTTTCGGGATCCAAAGAGGTGTCCCCACTTGATGCCCCCAGATGACGGTCCGGAGGCTCCTTCCTCACTTTCTGCTGGGGGGGCAGTAGACCCCTCTCTCTCCCGACTGTGTCTCAGCTCAGCCAGCACAGAATCAGGGGGGCTCCCCATCCAGAAGGGCCAGCCCCTGTCCCGGCCAAGGGTCTCCTCAGGGGCAGGGCAGGCCTCAGCTCCCTCTACTACTCCCTCTCGCGGGGGTGGGCCCCCACCTCCTGCCCCTTTCTTTTTCTCACTGCTGCTGCCACTGCAGCTATTGCTGCCACCACGGGGGAACCTAGAACCTTCAGTGGAGCCGTCAATGTAGACCTGGGAGCTCTGCATGAGCTGGTACCACCAACCAGACTGCCCACTTCGGGCCCTGCCACGCTCCGAGCCCCCAGCTGCCTCTGTCACCTCTTCCGTCTCCTCCTCTTCCTCATCTTCTCCCCCTTCTGGGGCACCCACACCTTTCACCCGTTTCCCATGGGCTGCGCTGTCCGTGTCTCCGGGGCCCTCCTGGCTCCGGGCCCGGGCCAACTGCAGCGTTGAGTGGGCGGACAGCAGCAGGTCCTGGGACACGCGCAGCAGTTCCTTGTGCTGCCGCTGCTGCTGCCCACTTTGCAGCAGCCGGTGCTGGAACAGCAAGTCCAGGCTGAAGGGCAGCAGGGCCAGGGGCTGTAGCAGCAGCAGCAGCTCCTCAAAGAGGCCAGGGCACACGGTATGCGCTGCACTCAGGAAGCCCCATGGCTGGTAGTGGGTCTGGATGATATCTAGGGAGAGAGAGAGGGACTGAGCCACACAGGAAGGCAGAGCCTGGCCTGGGGTGGCCTTTGAAAGGCAACCTGGGCAGAGCCACTGCTTCGTGCTGCACAGGCTGTGATGTGCTATTTAGAGGCACTAAGTGGAGGCGATTCCTGAAGTGTTGGTGCATTAGCTGCACCTTAAGTGGCAGCCGCGAGTTCAGACGGCCTGAGTGTCCCGCTGACTGCCAGGCTCTACCACAGCAGAAGCTGGGGAGGGACTCTGGTAGAAGCCCAAGCGTTGCATGGTTCCCCTCTCCACCTCTAGCATCTGAAAAGACAGCTGTGCCTCGCTCTGGAGCCTGTGAGGCCTGGCCTATGATGAGTTTGCAAGACAGGGCAGGGTTCTGGGCATTACCTTCGTGGTTATAGAGGTGATTAAACCAGAACTCCAGGGACCGGATGCTGTAGGGAGATAGGTGAAGAGAGTTGAGTCTTATGTGGGCATCGCCAGATCATAAGGTGCAAAGGAGACAGACACAGGGGTCAGACACAGGGCAGACTATAGGTGAACATCTCTCTTCTATGGCAGGGATGCTATCTGGTTCATTTTATGTCATGTAGTTCTGAAAAGTCAGTGAAGATGTGGGGCGGGGGGAGGGGTGGAGGGCGGGGTGAACATGTGTTTCACAAACCAGTCACTTCATCCTAGAATGAGTCATTTTGCACAAGACCCAGGAAGTCAGGGCAGCTCCTGAGTGGAGTACAGAGCCGAAGGGGATGACCCGGGCCCATGCTTGAGAAAGAAGAATACTATGACATGGATCCCAAGGTGGACTTAGGGTCAAGCAGGATTTGGAAGCAGTGCTGGCATTGAGAGGATCAGGGTTTACAATATCCAGAGAAACAGAACCAGATTAATTTCCAAAGAAGCCAGATTGTGGATTTGTAAAAGCGGAAGACCATGTTGGTGTCAGTGCCGGAGGATCGTGGGTGTGGTGGGAAACCACTGATCTACTGAGAGGCTGTAGCTAGGTGGAGAGAAGTGAGCCTGCGCTCTGGCAGCAGGTCCCACAGCTCCCCCTTTCTGTCTCAGGTAGGGAGCTGCTTCCTCAGAGGCAGCCGCGACCCGGGGGAGGGCTGGTGGCTGCAGATCTTGCTGCGCCACCACACTCACTTGAGCAGGCCGAGGACGAAGGCGTCGAAGCGCATGGTGTGACTGGTGAGCTCGGGGAACTGGCTGACCTTGTTGTAGAGGCCGTGCAGGACCTTGGTGGATGGGCCTGGGAGGAAGCCAGAGTTGCAGGTCACATGCCCAATCTCTGGAACCCTAAATTCACCCTGGGGTCCCCATCTTGCACACAGCACTTACCTAGTTGTGTAGAAGCCTCAACCACACTCCACGGCATGTTCTTACGTTGCCCGATGATGACATCCAGCACAAAGGCCTTGAGCCCATCCTCCAGCACAGCCCGGACCGCGGGGCACAAGTACTTCAGGACCAGGTGGCCTACATTGGGGCTAACAGAACTGTTCCCCAGCTTTGCCTGTGGAGGCAGTAGGGAAGTACAGGGGATCATTGCAAGTTCAACCCTGGTCCTCTCGGACCTTCTTAGCCCTTATGGTGCTTCTTTGTGATCCCCATTCCTAAGTATCAACTCTGGGTTCTAGTTGGCAGCACAGGGAAGGTGAGGGTCAGCAGGTAGAGCTCAGCTCTCCACAGTTTCTTGCCTACCTTCACCCCAGGATCCCGGCTTGTGCCAAAATGGGCCACGATGAGGTCCACTGCAGTGTTAACAGCTTTCACCAGCCCTGCAAGCGAGGATTTGATGTAACAGCTCCCCGAAAAGTCCCTGAGCAACTCAGCTGGGACTGAACCCTCGTGGGAGGAGAATGGGCTTCCATACACTCTCTCTCTGTCCCTGCAACATGGGTCTCATCAAGGTACCAGGCCCAGGCCACTTGCTATTTTTCCCAGTTCTCCAGCCCCTCCTGTTTTCACGCCCCGGCTGGGACCCATGATTACATTATTGAGACCCTCAAAGCCCTAACTTCCTTGCCATCTTACTCCAATCCTGGGTCAATCTATCTGTCTTCTCCACTCTGAGACACCAGGCTACTGACTGCTGGATAAAGTCCAGGGCCACTCTCACCGGTGACCGACAAGGGCACTTCTCTGAAGTGTGCCTTGTGGCACCCTCAGCTATGCTCTCAAGTTGCCATGCCAAATCTTTACCCCTCTTCTCAAGCCCTTGGTTCTACTTCACACAGAGAGCAGAGGCCACTGGTCACGAGTTCCTTCAACTTTCCTCTCCATCCAAAAGACGTAACTATATTATTTCTCTCCTCCCCGCTGCTGCCCCTCTCTCTCTCTCCATCTTTTGGAGGAAGGTGGCTGCTCCCCTTCTTGCCCAAGGTTCTTCCCTCTCCCTAAGCTCTGAATCTCCCACTCTGCCTCTGAAAGGGACTTTAGTTTCATCTTTCTCCCCTTTAAGTAATAAGCTCCTTCCCCTTCGGCCCCTCAATTTTTTCTCTCCATCATCGCACTGAAACTGCTCTCTCTTATGGTCTCTTATCTGCTAAATAGCTTGATTCCTTGTCAGTCCGTGTCTGACTAGATGTTACCATCATGTTTACCCCGACCTCTAGGCCCTGTGGTAACTGAATTCCCCCTCCCCCCCATTAGAGCACATGGACATTTATTTATGACACGAGTCTCCCTCACTAAGCTCCCGGAGAGAAGAGACTGGAGCCTGACTCCAAAGCACCTGATCAATGACCCTTCCTCACGTGTACACACTCATGGCACATGGTACGTGACTTCTCGCCCCGATGCCTGTGCTCTCTAATTCCTTCCTGGCACCTGGAATTCTAAGGCAGGGAAATATTCTGGAGGGCCAGGCAGCAGGGCAATAGACACGGACAGGTAGTGACAACAGAACTCCTGGCCTGAGCTGGGGGAACATCCACCTTTTTTCTGAAGCAGGTCAATGGAAATGGCTTCTGAGTTGCCGTCTGGGGACAGACAAAACTCAGCAGGAGGCTTCTCAGTCAAGGAAAAGGGATCCTGGAAGTCAGGGCAGGTCAGTGATAGCGGCTTCACCATTGGACCTGGAAGAAGAGAAAAATCAGTCCCAATTACTCTCTTTCCAAGCGTCGCAGCTCAGTTCTGTGCCATATACCCCCTGAGACTGACCCCTTCTCCAGCCCTTCCCAGCTACGGCAGAGCCTGCCCTGGTGTCCTGGGGACCTGCCCACACACCATTCAGCCGGC